CTTCTCATTGGGATCCATTGGAACAACTATCAGTTTGCAAAGAAGTAACTTTGTCTCAGTCAGTAAAGATGTCACATATTTGAACTAGGAAAGACTAATGACCCGAAAGAACCGAGCTGCTTCCATACCTAAGAAATACCTGCGAGAACCCAAGCCCTTCATCTCAAAAGATGCGGTTATAATGTTTGTAAGAGATACCAAGGTCGGTCGATCATCACCTGTGAGTAAGATGTCACAGAAATAGAAGATGAGGATGGCAATCCAGTCTTCAGATGAGTGTCAGAAAAACATTGTGTGATCAGATTGAGCTTGAGAGAAATCATGACCCACAACTTGTGAACTTATCAAACCAAACCATGAGGGAGTGTTTCGATCCATAAATAAACTTCTGCAGTCAACACACTTATCCAAGAAAAGAGGTTGAGTCAAAGCCCGATGGGAGGACATATACACGTCCTCTGCGAGATCGTTGTTAAGGAAAGCATTCTTGACAGTCAGTTGGAGTATGGGTCAATCCAGATTCACGGCAAGTGATAACAGAACCCAAATGGTGTTTAATTTAGTTACCGAAGCAAATCTCTCAAAGTTAACTCCAACGGTTTATTGCGTTCAAAGAATCAATCGAAGTTAAATTTGGTGCTAAAAATCCACCAGCAACCAACTGTTTTTTTTTTCCTCAAAGAAAGATCAACAACATCCTACGTATGAGTTCGCCGAAGGGCAATCATCGTATCCACTACTGTCGCCTTCTAGTAAAGGTCCGCCAATGCTACCTCAATAGTGGATGGAAGACAAAATTTGTCGAAAGTGACAAATGCTTTATAGGTCGGTGATTAGTTGTGGAATGAGACGTATTTTGTCATGGGATAAATAAAGCATGTCTGATTATGTACCCCAATGGTAGAATTCACCTCCTCATTCAAAGCAGGAGGAATCCCCGCAAGTTGAGAGTCTCATACTGGAGATGTCAGTTAGAGCGGATTTTAAGACCTGCAACAAGGCAGTGGGCTCAAGAGTAAAGGCATTGTGACAAGTCTCAACCGAGGGTTTGGTACGCCGAGTGTAGACACATGGTGGATCGAGGAGATGTTGGTTTGGTTGGTGGCGGATCCAGGGAGACAGAGGGACCCTCAAAAACAGTGGATGTAGGAGTAGGTAGAATATTCAATGGAGACAAAAAAAGGAATAGCGTCCAAAAAATCTAGCCTCCCCACTTCAGGCAGTGTTAGGGAAGTAAAAGACACTTCCAAAAAAAAAAGAGATATCGAAACTCATATAGAGTTTATTAGTGATAGAATCAAGGCACCGGTAGCCTTTCTAAGTGATTGATTGTCCGAAAACGACACATTTAATTGATTGGGGATCAAGTTTACTACAAGTTAGGGTTGTGTTCCGAACAAAGGTCCTGCACCAAAATATTTTAGGGTTTAATGTAGAGAATAACCGATTGGTAGCAAAACAAGACATCAAGACTGCTAACGATGTCCAAAAGTTGTGGATTTTTGTGTCGATAAGCATGGCGTCATTCCAAAAATATTTTGGGATATTAGATTGAAACATAATGGAACAAACAACTTCAAAAAGGGGTTAGTTTTTCCTTTTGGGTATCCCATTTTGTTGAGTATCCGTACAGCAGCTATGATAGAGGATACCCTTACCAAGATTTCCCCCAATATAGAGTTAAAAAATTCATGATTGTCGTCAATCCGAAAACTTGAATAGAGGTTTTGAATTAAGTCAAAATGAAAGAGTGAAATTTTCTTAAGACAACCCCCACTTCAAATTTGTCTTTTAATATATAGACCCAAGTCATCCAGTATGGTCATCAATCAAGGTAAAAAACTACCGTTTATTGGTGTATATTAAAACTCGGGAGGGTCCCCATAAGTCACTATGAATCAGTGAAAAATGATCGGTATGAGTTTAAGGATGGAGTGTATATGATGCACGTTGATGTTTAGTTAAATGACAAATCTCACATTAAAAATTAGATATATTTTTTATTAATAAACCTCAAAGGATACAATTGTTTTAAATTGTGAAATCTGGGACAACCCAAATGGCAAGTAAAAGCGTAATAGGAAATTCAGTAGATCGGAAAAAAACTACAACTACGGGATGGAGTATTCACGTCATCATTGCCTTGTTCTTTGAAGAAGTAGAGCACGGTTACCTGCATAGCAGTTACTATTATCCTTCCAGAACGATGAATCTGAAAGACACAAACATCAAGAGAAAAATGAGCAACGCAATCAATGTCATATGACAACTTACTGACCGACAAGAGGTTACAATTCACTTCAGCAAAGGTATGTGTAACACGGATCTCAGAGGCAGCCCGGCTGTTAGAACAACTACAGGAACCGTCAATAATATTAATAGTATCTCTCCAGGAGAATTGAGAAAATGTCAAGAAAGCTTGAGAACACCCGTTTATGTGGTTTGTGGCACTTGAATCAATAATCTATGGACTAGAATACGTAAAAGCAGTGTCAGAGAAATGCTATCTTGACGAACATGAGAAGTCGACGACCGGAAGAGACCTAACTAGATTCAAGCAGCTTAATTAAGTGTTTCATCTGACTCTTGATGAAGTATGGCGATTTTGGATGGTTTGAGTGGGGGTCTGCTGCACTGTCGTGGATTCTGAGGTCATAGTAAAACCCTTAGCATGGGGTATTTGGTCGAAAACTTATTTATCAATTTCCCATAGAACTTCCAACACTTATCTTGGGTATGGTAGGGTATATGACAGAAATCAAATGTGGAGTGATTGGCTCCTAAAGGTGTATTAGACTGTTAAGCATTATTGGAAACCAAGACGGAAGGTTCGGATGAAGGAGTGGAGGTGTCGAGCAAGACAAGTTTCTGGCTTTCTTCATAAAGAATCTCGATGAATGCCGCCTAAGTTGAAGTAAGGGAATCACGACCAAGTATACGGCCCCGAACTTCATCAAGATCTTTGTTCAGGCCGGCCAGGAATTGGAAAGCACGATAATTTTTCACATTTTTTTTAAGAGGAAAAGATCAGCCGGAGAATTTCAAGTGTAATAGAGTTTGCATTCCATCCATAAGGCAACCAAGTCATTGTAGTACTAGGCCATCATCCTTGATCATTATTTTACCTCACGTATCTTCTTAGAAATCTCATAGAATTGGCTAGAATTACCTGCGTCTGAGTAGGTATAGCGAACGTCAATCCAGAGGGCGTTTGTAGACGGAAGAAATAGTAACAAACAACCAATCGAGGTTTTCATGGAATTCTCTACTTACTGCACTGCATACGTCTGATTAGCCTTCGGAGGTTCACGAATCATACACGTGAGATGACCGAAGTCCCATCCTTTGACGAAGAATGACAGCTTGGAACCATTTGAGCAAACTAGAATCATTGAGTTTATGGGTGATGAACAGAAAATTCAAATGGTTTTCAGGTCCTCCGGTCTGCGGAGGAATTGAGGTCGGTGTCGATCCTTTGGTGAACTCAAGTACACCGTTGGAAGGAGGCTCGATGGTGAAGGAGTCCGTCATGATTCTGATTGAGCCAAAAAGTCAAGTTGGGATGCCGAGACATAGAAGGATTTTGATTGCAGGAGGGAGGTCCGACGGCTAGAAAAAGATGCAGGAATGATCAGTGGTTGAACCTTCAGGAAAAACGTCTGGAAAATTCTACATAAAGAATCAATTGATACCACCGACAGCCGGACCTTCAGGAAAAACCAACAGTGGAGCGGTAGGGCTATAAACGAGTCGAGCTTGAGCGAGCTCAGGCTTGGCTTGTGTTCAGCTCGTTTGAAATTGCTCGTGTTCGAAATTGGCTTGTGTTCGAACTTGACTCGTGAAGAGTATGTTCAAGTTCAGCTCGATTTAAATATTTTTGTTCGTGTTCAGCTTAAAATTGATTCGTTAAAATTATTTGACAAAAAATATATGTTGAGTGTTAGATTCGAACCTAGACCAAATCTATGCAAAAGAAGTCACATAACCACATTACCACACGAACTGTTATGATTTAAACTTAGATATAAATATAAATAATATATTATTATATAAGTAATATATATAATATATTATTATATAGATAATAATATAATTATTATTATATAAATAATTATATGATTTTTTTTTTATTTCGAGCTAAAATGGGTCGAATATGAGCGAACAAAGAGTTGTTCATGTTCGGCTTGTTTTTAGTTCAAGCTTAAAAAAATTGTTCGTGTTCCGCTCATTTACTTAACGAATGAGTCGAACACGAGCTACTTAACGAGTTGAGCACGAGTTGTTCGTGAACAACGAGCTTTTCTGACAGCCCTAATCAGCGACTAGAAAAAAATTGTAGGAGGTTGAACTAGAAAAATCTGCAAGGAGGATCGGCTGATACCACTGACGGCTGGAAAAAAAAAAACCGATTGGAAAAATCTGCGACTAAATGGATGTCCTGCAAGAAGTGACGTCGATTGGGTGGATCTCCCGACAACAACTAGGGTTAGATCATTGGCTCTGATACCAAGTAAATTTTGGGAATTAAGTAGGATGATCTTAGTGATATGAAAGGGGAGGTATAAGTACTGATTACATGACTCCTAACATAGAAAATATATAAAATATGAAAAATTTACAGATAAGAAATATATAAAACATGAAGAAAATAAATAAAAAATATATATAGGGAAAGGAAATAAATCAATGTTAATATAAAGAAAAGTTTATGTTAGTGAGTTGATTGAGTTATGATCAATAAACTAATGAGCCAAAAACAAACATAAAAGCATATCGAGCTAATAACACTTTAGCTCACTCAAGCCCAACTCATTTAAGCCAGCAATATTTATAAACTTAGGGTAAGGAAATAGATCTAGAAGACATCTACAACTAACAGCCAACATAAAAATCACATCTAAAATAAAAGAATAACAAAAATATATTCTATAATTGCATAATTTTATTCATTTCACTAGGCCAATTAATATGTGAAAAAATGGATGGTTTGTTGACTTTACCTTGTCAATTGTATTTTCATATCTCTGCCAAAGTGAATTCAAAATTGCTTCTTCACCAGTTTCACTGAGAAAGAGATGTGAATTATTAAAACAAATCAGTTCAATTTCAATGGTCTCCTATGAAGCACAAAACCATTTCTGTTTCTATTTCATATATAAAAAGCTATCAAAAACAATATATTAGAACAAATACATCTAACATGCTCAATACAACAGCAAAAAGAAGCCAGAACGTAAGTGAAAAGAAAACATGCCACATAGTGATAGTATCAGCAATTCGTCTATAGAATATTAGAAAAAAGACAACTGCAAATGGTAAAAATAGTATAATATGCTTAATATAACTCAGCGCTCAAATAAGCAAATTTCTTTGCAACATTCTAAACAAAAATTATCGAATACAACCTCCAATTATAAATAACAATCATACACAGAAGACCCTAAGGAAGAAAGCATTGAAGTATAACATTTTACAAGCTAAAAAACAGAAAGAATCTTTCCAAATTCAACATCATCATCATCATTGTGTTATATTGAATCAATCAAAATATTCTGTTCAAGTAATATTGTATTAGCAGTTGTAAGGGAGATTAAAGTATATGATTGTATAAAGGAAAACCATTGACTAACAATCAAGAAAAGGGTATCCTCTAGCATGTTAAAGTAAAAGATACAACAACAAATCAACTGAATGTTCAAGGAAAGCGTCGACAATAAAAAGTAACAAAAGCATGAGTTAAGTGGTCTACAATTTATGTGACAGCAAATTAATAATGATCAACTGAATAATAACTTTAAAAAGAAAATGCATACTGGTTTTTTATTTTTTTTTATTTTTTTTTTTGCATAAAGTCAGTTTATGTTGGATTTGATGGATTTTGATTTATCAGCCTAACTATATGGAAGGAATATTTATTGTTAAATGATTCAAAGTGCTTTTTAGCTAACAAAAATTGGTGAAAGGATTGCTTCAAATGATTGCATTGGAAATGTTGTAGACTTGTAGTGGTAGTGTATAATAAGAAGAATGTTGATAAAAGCTGATTCAGGTGGTTTGAGAATATAGAAAGGATAATGAACCATAAACTAATAAGGCAAGTAAACATAATCATTATAAAAGGCATTGAATGAAAAGGAAGATGCACGCATAAGCGTGGCTACGAGTTGTAAATAAAGGCTTGCACAAACTGAAGACAAAACTAAGGGCGCTGACTGATAACAGCATTAGTAAATCCTGTAAATCCGGATTTGCTAAATCCTGCCAAAACCAAGATTTAGTCAATCTGGGATTTAAGACAAAATTGAATGGAACTAAACCCTAAATCGGATTTACAAAATCCATGATTTGAAATTTTCCCTTCTTCTGTCTAGCAGATTTAAGATAAAACCCACTTAAATCCTTTACCAGACAGCCCCTTAAAATGGGAAAATATTTGCATACATAAGACGTACGCAGCGCTGCGTACATCCAGGGGTTATTCAGGGGGTACAGGGGGGTTATATCGGGGTTATACCCCACTGTAACCCTCATGTAACCTCTTTGTAAACTACATGTAACCTGTGTAACCTCTTTGTGAACTACATGTAACCTACAAATGAGCCTCGCGATCCTGTAGTTTCATGGGTACAAATAAGTTACACGAAAGTTACAAGTGAGTTACACGGAGGTTACAGGAGGGTATAACCCGGATATAACCCCCCTGTATCTCCTGAATAACCCCTGACGTACGCATCGCTGCGTACATCTTATGTACGCAAATATTTTCCCTTAAAATGCCACTGAACGAAAATTAAAAAGTTTCATGAAGTCAGCCCCGAATAGTTGGGATAAAGCCATTGCCATTCTTTTGTTATAAGATAAAAGGAAAGATTCCTACTATAAATCTGCATTCAGTGGACTATTAATTATTCAAACTTCATTGGTAACAGGCATCTGATATTAATTAGACAAGGATGCTAATATTATTCCAGACCAGCCATATTGCAAGGATTTGTTGCTCTATTCTTTAGCGGACTTAAAGCAGGATATTTATTTCTTTCTCTCCATCCACCAGGCAGAATGGAAATGCTGAAATTAACAGGACCCGCAACAAGTGCAGAATACTAAGATTGATGACAGGACCAGACTGTAAATCAACATATAATACCAGCCTGAGGATAAAAGAAAGTTCATTTTAACACTGCACAATCCGTGACAAAGCAATGAAGCCTACCTAAACCGGATTCTTGGAGAAGGTGCAGAGTGCTTCTCAGATTGAGTCCATGAACCGCCTTCCCCAACTTGGCCACTCGCTGATCTTCTAAGAAGATCAGCCACCCCCTTGACGATGTTCATCCTTCGCAAGAAGAGCGAGGATGCTTTGAAGCTACCATTAAACTTGATTATGTACAAAGCCTACCCGTACTTCAACCGCAACTGTTCATCAAAATACTGTATTCGTTAAGGCAGCCCACCAAAGATGAGCGATGAACAGAAAATAAACACACAGCAAATATAAATACTGACAGAGAAGTGCATCAAGGAAACATATATGCGCAATAAACGGAATGTAACACCCAATATGCAGGCTAAACAATAATATATTGAGAGACCGAGCATAAAAAAACAATCGCTTTCATGAGACCTACGGCATAAAGGTTTCTGAAACCTCAAAAGCAAAAATAAAGAAAATCGAACCACCGTGAGAAAATAAAACAAACACAATCGGACTTAATAGGGAAGTGGGAAAACAGTAGCACCTTTTTACCCGCAATTCTCCCCACATCGATTTCTGACCGAAAGATGAAAGCCAGAGGAGCGACAAAAATTATTCACTGAAAATCAGTAACTGCACCTGATTGATAAGAAGAACCAATCTAACAGCCACAATCTTACCAAAGAACAAGATCCTGAACCTATCGTTCGCTTCGATGCTCTTGTTCCTTCCTCCTCTTGCTGCCTTCAGCTCGAGCTGCGACGTAAAGGATCCAAGAAACCGAACAGCGTCGGCAGGTAGGGCTGTCAAAGTCGTTCTTCGCGAACACTCGAGCTTGATTCATTCCTTTCCCTTAAGGAATGAATAATTTGAGCTTTATATATAAATGAGTTCAACACGAATTAAAACTTGTCCGTTCATCACCAATTATATATATATTTATAATTGATGATTGTTATCTTAATAATAAATATAAATATTTATAATTAATTAAAAAATAAAATAAAATAATTAAATTATATTTAAATTAGATTTTAATATAAATAAAAATATTTAAATCTAGCTCTTATCCTGCATCATATGATTAGAGTTGTTAAAATGGTTTTTTTTTTACGAACAGCTCGAGCTCGGATCATTAAACAAACGAGCAAGACACAAGCAATTTGTGTTTAAAATATAAATGAGTCGAACACAAATAGTGATCTTTTTTAATAAGCTGAACACGAGCTGAGTCGGGGCTTACTTGTGTTCGGCTCGTTTACACCCTAACAGCAGATGATTGGAGATTGGCAGATGGGCGAATGAAGAAAGAGCTTGAAGGCTACTTTACGAAGAAATCCATGAAATTGTGGCAGACCATGAATTTGCCCCAAAGATTTGCGTGGTGTGGAACCGCCATCGTCGAGATCGTGCAGTGGATTTTCGAGTTTCGTGTTGTTTGTAGTGGGAACGAAGACCGCAAATTATAACAATAAGATAGTAATGTATGGTGTGATTGGAGTGGTTGTTGTTTGTAAAGTTGTTTCTCAATAATTGTCAAAAAATTGTTCATAGAGACTGTTTTGAAGATCTACTAAATGTTGTTTCTGATGAGAAAATCTATTTTGCTCTTATGTATGTAATATTTTTGAATAATTGCAATTTTTATAATAATTACAATAGAATAATAAAAAGACGGCCTGCTATAAAAAAGAAAACATCAGTACGGTGCAAAATACTCTAATACATAAAAAAGTGGTCGGTTATTTAAAGCGTATAATTATAATAATGAAGACAATCACAATAACCAGCAAACTTAGAATGACGTTCGTTTTCAAGTCCTAATTATCAAGCCTTCAAGTTAATCTTCTCTCCCGCGTTGCATCTCCTCTAATCCAATCATTATCCGAGTGCAGTCATTCGTGTCATCAACTCAGTGAAAGTAATTGTAATCCTTAAGTGTCATGTTTCTTAGACAATGGTATAATCTTCTATCGTAGCTACCTTCTCTTCTTGATTGGTAATCAACACACCATGTGTCGCATTAGTAGCTTTGAACTCACGAAGGATTTGATGCTCTTTAACTCATGTTTCTTGTGATTATAATACATTATAACCCGTTTTGAGAAAAAAAATAAATATGTGAAAGAAATATTAAAAAAAATTAAACAATTTTACAACAAAACACAAAGGGTCACGTCAAGAAAACTATAATACTAATTCGTATAAAGATATAGAAAATGTATGTTTTTGTACCTATTTTTTTTAAGAAGTCGTCAGTTTGTTCATCGTCGTATACTTCCCTTTTAGAATAAGTCTCTCTTCTAGATAATGTAATTGATCAGAATAACATAGGAACCAGAAAAGCAGGACTTGGACGGATAAATAAGAGAAAGAACGTGAAGAACCTTTGTGCGGCAAATCTCGCTAGAATAGATCAAGCATATATATCATAACAAAATCGAACTGAAATAGCTTGTGTCAAATATCAGCAAAAAAAGCCTAACAAAGCTACACAGAATCAGGATTCAGATGTGTTTGTTTGTTCTGGGGTCTAGAGTACTCTCAATGGGACGTATCCCACTTGGTTAATTACATACTATGGGTTGCCCAATAATACACTTGAACCAAAAAGAGTTTTGCTTGCATTAATAGTGACAACTGACGCTGGGCTATCAAATGATCGTTATTTTGCAAGATAATGCTCTGATGCTTTCAAAGCTCTCGTTAAGGTATTGGGCAGAGAGTGAGTCTCAATGATCCCACATGCGTAGCGAATTCATCAGCATACGCAGCCTACGAAAGGACTAAGTCATCTTAATGGGGGTATCTAGCACATAGGGTCATAATAATAGAGAACAAATCGTCTTATCCCGAATGGATGGCAGATCATATGTAATCGAGCCGTTGGAATGAAACTAACAAAGGCAAAAGGAGTGAGAGGACATAATGAAGATAGTCAAAGGAAGGGAGGAGTAATCCTTAGAAGGTAAAGGTGGTCTGGTTCCGGTACCACAGACCCGTCATCCCAAGCTACTAAAAGTCGGCTCAATACTTCCCGAGAACCCCGGTCAGCAATTTATGAATTGCATCGTCCACGAGAACCTTGGTAACCCGAAGATTAAAGGAACGAAACTCTATCATATAACTATTATGTGGAATTCTGAGAGGTGAGACTTATATCCTCCAAAGTGACAAGAATGTCGTTGGAAATGAAGAAAATGGGAGGATCAACTACAAAGTTAAAAACACTCCCAATAAAAAGGAGATACACTATGTCTAGGTCGGGGAAGCCACTAACACCCTAAGCACAATAGGCAACCACCTAAGTAGAATTTTATGTTGGGTCGGTCAGGTTATTGAAGCACAAGAGCTTCTCCTTGAAACATGCAATATGATGCAGTTATTTACTTAAGTCTTAAAGTTGAGGCCTTATTAGTATGACTTGGGATATGATAAGTCTTGAAACCCATTTTTAAATCGGCCCGAAGGATATGCAAGAAAGGAAAATCAAGTTTTAAAAGTCCTGAATATTTTAATCATAAGTTTTAATTTATCTAGAAATTTTATTAGAATTTTATAGAAAAATTTTATAAATTTAGGCCCTTAGAGAGTTTAAGTTATAATATTGGGTTCTCAAACAAACCACAATCCAAAAAAGATGAAGTTAATATAAACATAAGCATGCAAGAAACACAGTAAAAAGACTCAAATAAAAAATAATAAAAGATTAATGTTGTTGGGTCGACAACATATCCCAAAAATAAAGAGTGATCATGCACCACATAAGTACACTTTTAGTCCTAACTTTATACATTGATGAGATTTATAATTAAAGTACGAGATAGATGCAAGTAGCGCCTGGTCTTTGTCGCATGGTTCAGCCCACCTAATGCCTCAGAACACTTACTTGAGTCTTATTTCTAATACAGACTCTTATGGGGACTCTAAAAAGTACAAAGAAAAGTAAAAAGAGGTACTCAACCTACTTGAAAACAACATTAAGGGTAAAGCCAACAAACATGCATTGCATATGAATCATGTTTAGCGGGAGGAGCTAAGCAGCGCCTGCAAAAAAGAGTTAGTATTTAAATAATTACAGTGCTCCTCCCCGATACACCTGTGGTGTGTATTTTATGTGTGAATCCCTATAAGAAGACCAACCTAATATATTATTATGCAAACAAAATCAATAAACATGCAAGCACACAAAAAACAAAAAAAAGTGATGCTGGTTAGGGCAACCAAACTTGTAAAGAACTATAATGAGGACATAAGAAAATACTACCTAGCATTCATACCCTAGCACAAACTAATGAGAAGGTGTCATAACCAACATCTAAGTGCTTAGGGTAAGTCTCCATGTATGTATGACTTCGACAGGGCCGCCACACCGGACCCTTCTTAAATATCCAAGGGATCTAAAGGGTGTCATCCATGATGAATTTTTAAAAGGGTTGGCCTTACTTATGGCCTAGCTTGCTATATACATAATTTTAACATTATGGCTGACATAATTAGTAGAAAAATATATAATATTTTTAATTTTAAAATAAGGGTTGTTACAGGCAAACCCGTAACATTCAGGGTTACACAAGTTAGATTATTATCACAATCATGCTTGTGTTAATTTTGATGCTTCAACTCGCACTGTTTGTTGAGATCGACTTAGCAAGCAATGCTATTTAAGACATCTTGACCAACATGGGATCGCTAGCATATCAATCCTAGTTCGCTATCCATGTATGCATACAGATGCAAATGCAAATAATCATATGATAAAAATGGTGATGAGTGTATCATGGAGGCAACAACTCAGAAGCGGGTGTGTCGTGGAGACATCGATCCAAAGGAATGGGTGTTTCGTGGAAGCAGTGACCCGAAGGGGTGGGCATGTTGTGGAGGCAACGACTCAAAGAAAGGTTGTGCCCGAATGGGGTGGGCATGTCATGGAGGCAATGACCCAAAGAGTGGTTGTGCCCGGATGGGGTGGGTTTATCATTGAGACGGTGACCATGATTAGGTGGGTGTATCGTGGAGACAATGACCCAAATGGGTGCACATGTCATGAAGGCAGCGACCCAAAGGATGGGCGTGTCATGGAGACGGCGACACGAAAGGGTAGGGATGCCTTAGTAGTGGTGGCTCAAAGGATGGGTGTGCCGTGGAGACCATGACACAAAAGTGTGGGCGCGTCGTGGAGGTTGTGGCTCCACGGGATGGTCATGTCATGGAGGTAACAACCCAAATGATGGGTGTGTCGTGGAGGTAGCGACCTAAAAAAGATGTGAGTGTATCGGGGAGGCATTGGTGCGAAGATGCGACCGTATGGTGGAGACATTTGCCCGAGTGAGCGAGTGTATCGTAAGTGGCATTGACTCAGAAGAATGATGATTCTCATTGAAGAGAATCATACAAGCGGGGCGAGTGTATGAATGAACACCAAAATGCAACTCAAGCACGTGACAGTGACTATGCAAAAGTTTCATGCAAAGCAAGCAAGTGAGGGGATACTAGTGTGAGTACAAACACTAATGACACGGGGCACCGTGACATGAAAATTTCACGCAACAAGCCTGTTGAGTGATATACCCATTGGAGGCACGAACCCTCATTATGAGCTTATGAGGGCATATGCTCATAAGTGCACAACAAGTGCGAGTGGATATGCTAATGAAGACAATGTGAAAAGCATGCAACAAATGCAACATACCAAATGAAAACAAACAATGGAATTGATCAGAATAGTTGCGGCCAATCGATTAAGTCGATGGAAAGTAGTCATTTGATGCGATCTGACCAGTGGTAGTCGATCAATCAAGTCAATGATCAAGCAGTGCACACAACACACATGCAAAACACACACTATGCAAGTGAAGTTGGTTGTTCGACCAGCTAGGGTGACTGGGGTGGTCAGTCGGGGCAACATCACCAATAGGCTCGATCAAGCTAAGGTGGTTGACTGGACTGAACTGGTCGGTTGCCAGGGACAAAGCAGTCGTTTGGATCAAAGTGATCGGTCACCCCAAGCAGAGCAGTCGGTCAGACCGAAGTGGTCAGTTGCCTTGGCTGTTGTGGCTCGTCGGACATAAGTGTAATGTCGACCTCACCGGGGTTGTCGGTCAAGGCAAAGTGCAACATGTGAATTAATACATATAAGTCACACATAATTGGCCAATCAATAGGCATATGCTCAAGTTGTGTCGGTCAATTTTTTAGAATTATTTTTCGAGATGGTATATCACTTGTGCTATTATATATATATATATATATATATATAATTTTGATTTTGAAAAATAGTATTTTAATTTTGAAAGATAAGATCAGTCAGATCCCACATATCTAATAGTTCAGATAATTGAGTACAATATCATAAGTGATATATTATCTTGAAAGATAATCACATCACTTGTTAGCAGGCTTAACATTAAACTAAAAAAATTATGACTCTATTTTGGTTTGCAAAATTTATGACTGATAATCCTCCTATCTAATATAAAGATTAGACATAGTTTAGATTATCTGAGTTACTAATTTTCCTATAAAGGCAAGCACCTACAGTTAATTACATCTCAAACAACTGAAGTCACCTAAGAAAACTCTCGATTAAGATCGGTATTTCGTCTTTAAGAATTCAAAGTTAATTATTAAAGGTTGGTCCCATAAAAGTCAAATGAGAAAGGCTCAATGTGGAACATATATTCTTTTGGAATCCAAAGGAACGAGAAGTAGGGGATGTCACAGTTCTGAGACGAACCCCAATGGCCTCCTAGACTATCTTATGACTTAGCTTTACATTTTTGAAATGATATTTATTTGATGTTTACTCTTGTTAATTACTACAATTTTAGGACTTATATTTGCACAATATATGATCGTGCAAACAACTCAGAAAGATAGAAAGATTTATGTTGTATGGAACGACGATCGCGAAATCCTAAAAGAGTTAGGGCTTATATCGCACGACATACAATTGTACGAATGCCTAAAAGTTAGAGTGAGGATTTAAGTTGTACCAAACAAATTACCTCAAAGTCTTATGGGTTTGTGCCATTTAGAACTATAGAAAGTTTAGTTGAAGATCACTCACCGCTTCGTGTTTTATCTTGCTCATCGCCTGAAGTTGTTTTTCGTCCACTTGGATCCCCATCTTGCTCCCATAAAGCTTGCTTCGAGCTCCTTATAGTGGTGGTTTTAGGTTTTAATAAAGTATGTTTAGATATTCATTATTGTTGAGTCGCTGGTTTTGTTGCAGTATCCCTCATAAACATGTGTCATACTGCTCTTTACCCTATGAGTTTTTTTTTTACAAGTATAATAAATAACAAAATAATAACATTGCATGTATAAACAAAATATGTACAATAAGGCGCAGTAAGAAAGAAAGTTCGTAAAAAGGAAAGTGGTAATACGTACATGTTGTCTACGAGGCGCTACTAAAAGGGGTTAGAATTACAAGTAGAGTATGCAAATATTATAAAAGATTAAACAAGCACAAAAGACGTGTATATGTGTATATAAGAGTTAAGTGGCACATATATGGAAGATTATAAATGGGCATAAAAATTTAGGTTGGGTTTGGACTCAGCATCAGGACTGAAGCCTTAACGACTTTGTTAGCATCATATCCGTGAGACCCAACATAGGGTAAAAGGTTGTCAGCAAGACAATCAAGGGAGGGCGACCCCCAACCCGGTTTATGTGACCGACACGTAAACTTGCAAAAAGTAGCATCAATAATTCTTAATTTGTCATGCATATAAATAATTTAAGCTTTTCATTTAGCAGAGAAAATATCAGAAAATATGTTATATTATATGCTCATACATTTTGTAAATCTGACAGTTGGTGAGTCAGTCACACTGTTGGGCTGAGATCACTAGTAGCCCCTAAGAGTAAGGGCAACTCTTTACCCAATGTTGGAAGATAATAATGCCAATCTTATACCCTCGTGCGAGGCCCTCGGGTTTAGGAGGTACAATACTATCATCTACAATACTATCATCACATATACTTAGATTCCTTTATCATCATCGCTCCTAACCACAAAACCACTGTCTTATAACTCTACTCGATGATCCACATATTGCCCGCATTATGAACGCCTCCGCTTGACTTTGAACATCTCCATAATTGATGCTGAGAGAAATGGTTATGAATGTTGATGAAGTTTATATGCATATCAATGAATTCCTACGCGTTTGCATATCTATCACCCAAAATTTACATCGACTCATTTGTCTCCCAAAACAATCTATGCATGAAAAGGTGTATCTCATTCTTTTTTTTGAAAAGGCAACTGTTGTCTAAATTGTAGAATACATGAGCATATAAGGGCCAATCGATATGTACGCAAGTGTGAACATTTAAATATGAGACTTGCACTCACGTAAGAGTCGTGTGACATGTCTATTGATTTGAATGTTTAGGCGTTAAATACGTAAAAATATAAGAATTGAGTGGTATGTACATAAATCTTCCTTGAAAAAAAACACAGTCAAGCTTAAGAACAGCATTCAAACCTTTTCCAAAACAGCAAATCATTAACTCAAAAAAAAAAAAAACACATTTGAATCTCCCCAAAAACAGCAAGCAAATCTTGGTAATACAAATTTAATTACTAAAAAAATCATTAAATTTTATCATATTTTATAACAGATTACTAATAATTAAATAATGATAGAAAAATCACAATGTTTTTTATTTTTGTATTATAATTTGATCATATATCATAAAAAAGCAAATCTAGGGGTTGTAGCGTCACTTTACCCACATGCAAGCATCCACCAACCCCACTTATCTCCCACACGCTGCTTTGATTTTGTGGGCCATGTAAGAAGAGTATTTGTTAAATTGATTTTAAAATTCACATCGTTTAGAAAATTTCTGAAATTTTATTTTTATCAGTTCAACAGATCCTAAATTAATTTTTATTTTTATATGGCCATGTGATTCATTGACGATCTCAAAAAATATTTTTGTCAATTTTTTATTTAACCATATTAACAATTTTGCTGATTTCTCTCTCTCTCTAGATATATATATAACGCAAGTCTTGATTTGTCGGTGGCGGGATTACTGTAAGTCCCCTCAGGTCAAAGATTTTATGTCACTGTGGCGCGGCGGCTTTAAAATTTTAAGCACATGACGCGGACTCTCATCATAGAGCCAAAAAAAACATTGAAAATCGAATTGTGAGTGTCTAGATATTGATTTCCTTTATAATCACATTATAAGAAACGAAGACATAAATATTTTCTTTAAAAGCTTATTTATTTCCTTAAATATTTGCACATTTATGAGAGAATTAATAAGGCGGGGTGGCGGAAAGTGACTTCACTGCATAGAAGAAACGAAGAAGGTTCCCCCTTTGCCACAATTAAAGGGCTGAAAGCAAAGCTAAGGCATCAGCTTCCTCGCAACTTCTTGTGGTTGGTTGGTTGCTTGCTTGCTTCCTGATATACCTTTCGATATAAGGAAGCAAGCAATCTTGAATCGGCTAATTATATTCTCTCCACTCCTTCGATTGGAGACTTAACATATGGGGGCTGTAATCGGCGGTTACTTTGGCCGGAGTGGCCGGAATCAGTGTGGGGTGGGACGGCGGGATCCAGCGCCGGCGGAGATGACGACGGGGTTTGTGACATCTCAACCGTCCATTCAGAAGGAGGCTGGAGAGCGCTGGAGAGTGATGGCTGGGAAGTACGCATACATACCTGACAACTACAACTCTCTGGACCAGGTTAATTTATGCATTTAATTAAAAACTCCCTTTTTTTTGGTTCTTTATTAACTTGTCTGTATATATTATAGCTGCCTTAAGAGAAGCCGGTTTGGAGTCATCAAACTTGATCCTGGGAATTGACTTTACAAAAAGCAATGATTGGACAGGTTTTAAAAATAAATAAAAAAAGGAGAAATATATGCATGCATTTAAAATTAATATTCTCATTTTTTTTAAATTTTTTTTTGCTTCTTAAAAGGCAAATACTCGTTCAATAGCCAGAGCCTGCATGCCATTGGTGACAGAGCAAACCCATATGAAGAAGCCATTAGCATAATAGGGAAGATATTAGCTCCATTTGATGAAGACAATCTCATCCCATGCTTTGGATTTGGTGATTGTGAGTTCATTTAAGCAATTAACTTTAGGGGCATTTGCATGCATACCACCCAATTTAAGCCTCAACTTTACTTTTTTACATTTATAAGCCTCATATCTTACGCAGTATATAAAAAATATCATCATTTTAACTTTTAAAGAGTGAAATATAACTTTTAATGCATAGTTAAGGCGGCATGTATGTAAAAATACATATGAATTGAGTGGTATGTATGTAAATCTTCTTTGATTTTATTATATATTTTATTATTTAATGCTCTTTTTTTGGGGGGGTAGGGAATTTGGTATTTGTGACAGCAATAATTCATGATAGGGAGGTGTTCAACTTTCATGATGATCACTCACCATGTGTGGGTTTCGAAGAAGTTCTCATATGCTACAGAAAAATTGTTTCGAATTTGAAATTGTCAGGTAACACTATACTTCGAAGAAGTTCTCATATGCTACAGAAAAATTGTTCCGAATTTGAAATTGGAGGATTTTTTTTTATTTATAATTTTTATGTGTTAATTTTTAGACTTTTTATAATACCATATTAGTTAGGTTATGTTTTTGATTAATTTAGATGACTTGATTTACAAATTGGCTAAATTAATTAATATTAATTATTAAATTAATTAATTTAAGCCTATCATTCTTTTTGAAACTAAAGTAAATTAAATCAAACTTGGTTGATTTGATTTTGGATGAATACATAGTAATCTCTGTTAAATTTTATATTTTTTGGCATATAAAATAAATAATATTCATGTTAATAGTGTTAATAGTCATATTACTTGCTTATACGTGTAAATTAAATATTTAAAAACATAAAGTTATTTTTTTTTTATTCTTGATTAGATAGATATATTAATGATCAAATTTAATTTAATTTAATGATGAGGGTGGGTGGCCTTTTGGTGAGATTAAGGGTAATGAGCTTCAAAGATTTTTGGTTGAATTTTAAGGGTTATGATACGAGGTTAGGGTGGGAGTTTCGAAAGTAGTCCAGATTAATTTTGGCCGATTCAGGAGACAGCTAAAGAGAATGGGTTAAAGGCTAAATAGATGGCTAAAAATTCTTTCGTGGACGATGGGACCGGGATCGAAACTAACATTATTCTTTCGAGCGGGCAAAATAACCTAATATCTAATTTTCTTAAAGCGTTGGACAAAAAAAATATATCGAGAGGAAGGGAGAGTGCGGGAAAAATTCCTAAATTGTCTAATATGCATAAGGAAAAAAATACTAAATTTTATTATTTATATAAAAAGCTTACAAATTCCAGACATGACAATTGCCCATCCTGGACATAACTTAGTTACACCTATGATGGGATTTTGAAAAGCATAGTTGCTCCAAGTACTACCTAATTTGGTCTAGAGTTTTATGTGGGATTTTGGAATGAATGTGAGGTTTTGGTTGGGTGGCGGCTGGTCTTAGATGATGCTTTAAAGCTGAGAGCACGAGTATCAGAGAATAATAAGTAAATATAAAAAAGAATAAATGTATTTTTTTTTTATTTGACCGAGCAAGAAAAAAAAAAGAGCAATTCCTTAGTTAAAATATTTCGTTCAATAGCTAAATTTTTTTATTACGTAGTAGCACTATTTGTATACATTACAATGAGTCATACGTCGCCATAACTCAAATAATAATAATAATAATAAAGAACATAACAATTTTTGTGGATGAATGGCCATCAATAAAGAATTTTACTAATCATGTGTATTAGACCATTCTCTATAAAAAAAATTCATAATGTGGCCAACCTTTACTTGTTCTAACATGATTATCAAGATGTATTTATGCTCTTATAATTTTTCCTCTTTTTGCTTGATTATCTTAATTTGCAAAATTTAATCACAAATACACTTTAATTAATTACTTTTTTCGGTCTCTCATATATTGAAATACGCTCAAAAAATGATACAAAGACAACATAGATATGTTAGCGAAGGCTAGAAAAATATTAGGAAAATTTACATAAGTATCACGTAATTCTTTTGTTATGTGTATACATATCTCACGCCTAAACTTTAGTATTTGCATGTATAGCATTTTGGTGGTTTAAATCTATGCATAAATAGATGGATATGATTTTTAAAAGGTGGGAATTGTTTTTTTTTTTTTTTAATGTGACATTGAAGATTTTGAGAGCTATGTGTGTAAGTGTGTGGGTGTGTATTGTGTGTCGTAAGATTCATGACGATTAAGAGATAAGTTAACATCTTAGAGCTGAGCAAAGATTCAACACATACGCAGATAAAAGTGAAATAAACACGATGAGGCACCTTGACTTCTTAAGTGAAAAATTTTGGATTGAGAAAAAACTACGGGCCTAGCCCAATTGAAAACCAACATGTAATTGCAAATACATATGTTCAATGGTAATTCATCAATAATTAGTCATAATCTCATTATAGTTTTTGGTGATAACGACAATAGCAGGTTATGATAGTTGTAATAGATTATTGTGGAAGAATCTGTCGTGACTGCATACATATGCAAAGTATCATTATATGTATATTTATATATATTTATGTATGCATACATATATATTTATCACCAATTGTCATTATATATATATATATGTATATGTATATATATATATAT